TTTTTAAATAACTTTTAAATAGTAGAAAAAGAGAATGTCTTTTTGTTTGTTGTTATTGACGAATGCTTTTAATTGCTTGAAATATTTTTTAAGGCGTAATTTCTTGAAATGTGTGCTAGCCCCTTAAGTGCTTGAGTAAAAAATTGAAAAAGAATTATAAATCACTGACTAAATTTAACTGTGTCGATTGTAAATCGATGATAATAATAATAATAATTAATAATAATGATTAATAATAGTCACTTTATTAACTAATTTGTCCAAAAAATGTTGCAAGTGTGCTGATAAGCGACACTTTTTGGCCAATGCTTTAGTCGTATTTTTTTACCTAAGGCAAATTGTTTTACTGTATGTTTTATTCAATAGCGCTGCTAATCAATTTTGTCATTTGTGTAAATATTATGTTTTTATAATATATACATATATTTATTAACGATTCACTTTATATGCATTACGCAGTTATCAATAAAACGATAACTTCGAAGTTTTGTTTTAAACTTAAAGTCGTTCATGTTTCGAAATTGTTAGTAGTTGGTTATTTTCATTTGCGTCCAAGCAGTTTAAGGAATATAATAGTTTTATTGTTGCTACTGTTGTTAAATTAAATGTTTATTTTGCTTGCTGTTAATCAGAAGTAGTCAGAGTAATAAATTTAAATAATAGTGACTGTGCAAGAGAAACGAAAACTGATACCGGAGACGAAAAGATTTAAATATCAACTGAAGTACATCATTACTGAACTGCATTTGTATACAAAGACACAGAGGCAGTGAAATCAAGGTATGAGTGATCATAAAAGAAGAACTTGGAAGAGGACTCAATAGTAGACAAAGGTTTTTTTTATATGTAAGTAAAATTGAAATGTCTGTAATTTCCAAATAACCACGTCTTTTAAGCTTAAATGGTTTTCTGTAGGTCACTTTACATTCTACATACATTGTTAAGTAAAGTTAACGTTTAAAAAGTTCAAAATAAGTAAATCAAATTAACAAACTGAAAACTTAAAAAAGCAATTTAGTGTATAGATTTTTTTAATATAGAGGTGTATGTTGGGTAGCATATATATCTATCGCCTTATCTATGGCTATTACTATAGGTGAAAGTTAACCTCAATCATTCCATAATTTTATAAGGTAATGTTTAAATGAATATCAATCTAAATGCAATTCATAAACCATATTAATTTAATTAATTCTGTCTGTTGTTAAATTCAGTTGGATGTATTGTTTAAACTAAGAATGTTATATGTTTTTTACAACCAACAAACATTCAACAGTTTTAGATATGATGTGCCTTTTTCTCCATGAAAAACATAATGGTCACAAGATGATGCTAATAGTCAAGAAAAGGATTTTTGTCAACAACTTGGCTACTTCTTAGTTGCAGTAGGAACTGATGTAATTTAAAAAAGGCTACTTTATTCAGAAACAGCTTCTAATTTCTTTGGAGCAAGAAAGACAAAGAAGGCCTACACAATAGATAGAATGAAAAGCACTGAAAGAATTCTTCCTGTGTTAGGCTTGCTGTCCAAACTGATAAAACGTTGGAACGTTGCATTCTGCAGTTAACTAAGGTGAGAATACATGATACAATTAATCTTAGTTGCTCTTTATTAATCTATTACCACTCTTTTTGTTTCAGATCAAGATGAATGAGAAACACTAAAACAACATGTTACCCTTCTTCCTGTATTTGCCTTACTCTTTACACTTGTAAAACTTTGGAACGTTGCATGCTGCAGTTAATTAAGGTGAGAATACATGATACAATTAATATTAATTACTCTTTATTAATCTATTACCACCACAATTAGAATGTTTTTTCTTTATTTTATTCAATCTTATTTTGCATGTTGTTTATTTGAATTTATTGTTTATTTTGCATGTTTCTTGTTTATCCCTTTGCTTACTTACTGCTTATTCTTCCTAATTTGCTTTGCATTTACAGGGTACAGTTGGTTATCTGGAATAGGAGCAATAGGCGACTGCCCAGCTTGTCTTGGGGAAATCTGTCCGTTCTTCTCTACCTAAGCTATTACTATTTACCGTTAGTCCTGTTAATTTTGCACTATTTGCTTTCAGATAATGAGGTATTACCTAAGAAGAATGTAGACATCTCATACATCTTCTACAATTATTGTATTTTCTTTTTTATTTGTTTCTTAACTGTTGAATTACCTAATATAACTTTAGCTTAGGCTGATAGGTAAAACTTTTCTAAATTGGTTTTTTAGCAAAATTGTTGAAAGCAAATTACATATTTATTAACACATTCATAATTAAGATTCATTTGGGGGGGATAAGGTGGCTACAAGGAGAGATGTGGAGGAAACAGAAAGTTAGGGAGGCATTCTTGCCTCAAATATAATATTTAAATATTAATTCAGTCNATAATTGGATTATCATTGTATTATCATTATTTATATTGTAAGTACTATTAGCTTGCAGCAAATTTTCCTTAAACAAATTCTGCTTACTTAAATAGCAGGTGCTGTATAAGAGAAATACAAAATAAATGTGCTTTATAATAAACAGCGTTTGATTTACAAAACAATTATCGTCATTTGTTGAGAAATATATATTAAATAACTGTACTGAAATTAGCTTAGATTAATTTGTTTAGAGTAATTAACATCTAAAAATTGCTGTAGTTTTGGTAGTACTAGCGCCCTCGTACGTTGAGGGGCTGAACTAGATTGAGAAACAGAGAGGAAAACTACTATATAAAGTTGATCCCGCGCTAAAAATGCGAATTCAAAAAAGACCTTTTGCTACTTATGCTCTCCTAATACAAATGTTCAAATTTACGAAAATTTTCAGTTTTGTGGCACATACGAGGTCTGATCAAAATATAAATAATAACTTCCAATTTCAAAATTTCATTGTTCATCTATTTTTTAACCTCTGGTTTTATTATTTATTTTTTGATCAGACCTCGTATGTGCCACAAAACTGAAAATTTTCGTAAATTTGAACATTTGTATTAGGAGAGCATAAGTAGCAAAAGGTCTTTTTTGAATTCGCATTTTTAGCGCGGGATCAACTTTATATAGTAGTTTTCCTCTCTGTTTCTCAATCTAGTTCAGCCCCTCAACGTACGAGGGCGCTAGTACTACCAAAACTACAGCAATTTTTAGATGTTAATTACTCTAAACAAATTAATCTAAGCTAATTTCAGTACAGTTATTTAATATATATTTCTCAACAAATGACGATAATTGTTTTGTAAATCAAACGCTGTTTATTATAAAGCACATTTATTTTGTATTTCTCTTATACAGCACCTGCTATTTAAGTAAGCAGAATTTGTTTAAGGAAAATTTGCTGCAAGCTAATAGTACTTACAATATAAATAATGATAATACAATGATAATCCAATTATTATTTAGATACACAATTTGCAATTATTACAACAAATATATTTATTCCAATCAATTGCACAATACAAAATATACTAAGAAATAATAGTTTCTAACGATTTATAAATTAAAAAACTAAATACCTGTAAGAGAAAGACAAGAAAAACAATAACATTTCAAAGAAAATACAATAAAAAGTGTCATATTATTCATAAACCGTCATATTATTATTTAAACGCAAGATTAGGGAGAAAAAAGCCCCCTAACCCTCTGTGGCCTCCACATCTTCCCTTAAAGCCACCCTATCCATCCAAACTACTTCTAATTATTAAAATTACTAATAAAGTTCAAATTCACTTAAATACACTCAAAAAAAATAAATTTAGAAAAATTTTAACAAGCCTAAGTATGATTATTATAATATGACAGTTTATACAGTACAGACAAAATACCTGTAAAGGAAAGACAAGAAAATAAATGAGATTTCAAAGAAAATACAATAATAAGCAAAACAATTAGATGCCTTCATTCTTCTTAGGAAATACCTCATTATCTGAAAGCAAATAGTGGAAAATTAACAGGACTAATGGCAAATACTAATAGCTTTGGTAGAGAAGATCGGACAGATTTCGCCAAGGCAAGCTGGGCAGTCGCCTATTGCTCCTATTCCAGATAACCCACTGTACCCTGTATGAAAGGAAGTAATGCTAGAGTAGACTCGCGAAAAGTGTATAAGACACTTTTAAGATCAACTAAAAAGCCAAGCCCTGGGGTTGTGGTTCGGGGAGGCCCTCCCTAGTTCCACAAGGATGAAAAGAGAAAAGAACACGATAAGGAAACATTGAATCATGTAGAAGAGGTAGGGTAAATGCAAAGCAAATTAGGAAGAATATGCAGTAAGCTAAGCAAAGGGGTAAACAAGAAACATGCAAAATAAACAATTAATTCAAATAAAAAACATGCAAAATAAAATATAAATTCATATAAAAACAAATTCAAAGAAAACATGCAAACCAAAAATTAATTCAATTAAAAATCATGCAGAAAAAGATTGAATAAAAAAAAAAACATTCAAATGTGGGTGTCCTGTTTGTCTTCTGCACCAATGATCTGAAATAGATAGGGTGGTAACAGATTAATAAAGGGTAATTAGTATTAATTGTATCATGTATTCTCACCTTAATTAACTGCAGAATGCAACATTCCAAATGTAAAGAGTAAGGCAAACACAGGAAGAAAGATAACATGTTTTAGTGTTTCTCATTCTGACTATGTCTTCTTTGTCATCTCTACTTTCTTGATCTGAAACAGAACGGGTGGTAATAGATTAATAAAGAACAACTAATATTAATTGTAAAATTTATATGTATTCACCTTAGTTAACTGCAGCATGCAACGTTCCAAAGTTTTACAAGGGTGGAGAGAAAGCCAAACAAGAATTGGAAACACTTTAAATCTGATTGTGACTGTTTAAATGATGAGCACCACTGATCCATCATAGAACCTGAAACAGGGTTGATAACTGTAACTAGTAACAAAAAGGTACTTTTCTAATTTAATGCACTAATTACTGTATGAATATTTACTGACGAATTTCATAAACTGAAGGATGCTGAAAATTGCAACCAAGTTGCAACAGTCTTCTTATTATGTAGGATGTGCTGTTCTAGTAAGATGAAAATTAACTTCAGTGCATCTGTTAAATCATCTAAACGGTCAAAAAGCAATTAGCTACAAGCTACACCATTAAAACACAAGATATAATATAAAACGTCTAAGAAATAGGATGGAAATAGGTGTCAACGACATAATCATGACATAATTGTCAATTGCTGCCATTGCTGCATAAAATACATATAGAACATACCATAGATAATAGGAACATACTTAATTCATAGATAGTAATAGACAAATATAGAATGTGCATCATAGATTACATGTGCGTAGTATGGCCGCACGCGGCAAAAGTTGCGTTCATTTCACTTCACCATGAGCGAATTATAGAAGAAATATGTTGTTATTTAATTAATTAGATACCTACGTGGTCATTATTCTTAATAAATTAATACCGTCTATTTTCACATTCTCCATTCTGTTTTTTTGATTAAAGAGATGATAAAAACACAAAGCTTGCTTTGCTTTCTTTGTTATATGTAACTGTTTAGAAACATTTTCTTTAAACAATTGTTTTTAGTATTATTGATTGCGTTTTTGGCTGTAACTATTTGTATTTTCAAAATCGTAAAAATAATTATTAGTGGTTTAAAAATGGAGACTTTTGTAAAGGAAAATGAAAACGGACAGACATTTTACTCTGAACTTCAACTATCAGAAAAAGTTAAGGTAAACTAAAGTTAATTAATCTAAAATTAAGAGCCGTTACTTCTTAATAAAACATAATGGAAGTAATAAGAATAAAAATTAATTCGGAGATTTTCAATACACATTAATTAAAACTATAAAAAGAATAAAGTAAATATTATAAACGAAAAGTTTGTAAAACTTTTAGGTGCTTCTTTTATTTTTATTACTTAAATTACAAATTTAAAGTGATTGTAGATTTTTCATTATTTACTTCTGTAAACATTAATATACTATTATTATAATTTGTGTAGGAAGAATCCAAGGAATATGTATCTGAAACAAAATATAAAATAGATGAAAGTAAACGTTTAAACATTAATATTATAAACGAAATTAATAAACTAAAATACGACAATTTAGAATTACGTTCAAAAGGTAGCAATTATAGGACACAAAGATCTTGTATTTCAAAAGATATAATTGAGATGAGAACAGTTGCAGCGAGGGTTAATGATATATTAGAAACAGCATCTAAGAGTTCGTATATGACTTCATGTGAAAAGGAAGAATACAAGAATATAATAGAAAAATTGGAAATTAAAAAGATTTTCATTGACAACACATTAAGAGAGAGCTTGAAAGCTTTAAAAGAAAAGATAAAGCATAAATCTGATACGGTGATGCATATGAAAGACATAAATTTACAAACTATAAAAGAAGTTAAAAAAGAATATGCGGAACTTAACGGTAAAGTAAAAGAAATTCAGGAAAAAATTCATGAACTTACAAAAAACAAAGAAATCAATGCTAAAGAGTGTGATGATATAGAAGAAAAATTAATAAAGATAAGAAATGAAAATAATCAGTTACAAGACTGTTATGATAACAAAACAAAAGAGATACAAGAAATTACAAAACAAATTCAGGAAGAAGAGGAACAGTACCACGTTGAACTTGGAAAATTCAAGGAGACGGTTGATCAACTTGAAACTATGTAATTATTTAATTTCTATTTTAATCATTTTTTAAGCATACGATAATAAATTGTAGTTTAATCCTTTATCTCCTAAATAATAATTTTACAGTAAAGAGTTGGAAGAAAAAGAAATTTCCGATTTGAATGTTAAATGCGTCGAATTAAGCAAGCAAAATTGCGAAAAACAAATAAAAATTGAAGAACTCGCCAGAGAACGTACTAAATTACAAGCAAACTTTGAAGAACTTTCCAAAAAGAAACAGGAACTAGAAGAAACTACACAAAGATCTATAACGACCCTTAAAAATGAAGCATCGATCTATTCTCAGGATATGCGAGAGAAAGAAGAAGAATTCAAACTGTTGAAGGAGTACAGTTTAAAAATCGCACAGGTGGGTACACTGATTTTTAGTATTGTATAAAAATGTTAAAAGAAATTTTAACCATGATACATTTTTATTTTAAGGACCAATTAGTGCTTAGAACTCAACTTGAAGTAGAAAGTAACGAATCGATCATAATGGAGAGAGAAATATCAATTTTAAAATGTGAAAATCAGCCAGCAGAAGAGCAAATCACAGAAATGATTAAAGAAAATGAAGAGATAACACTGAAAATTTCGAATATGGAAAAGGAAACTGACCGTTTGAAAAACTGTAAGGCTGCTATCAAAGAAGAAATATCTTCCTTTAAAAGACAGTTAGAAGAAAAACAGAAATGTTACTCTGAAGAGATGTCCAATTACAATTCTAAAATAAAGGACGCCCTTCAAGTCCTGGATTCGAAGAAAGCAGAGGAAGATCAAAATATTAGGAATTACACAATAGAATACGAAAAAATTACAAAAGACCATGCAGAGGCCATGGCAGAATACGAACAGCTTAACGATAAGGAAATAGCAAAAACCGAAGAGTTGGAGCATAAATTGAAACTCGCAAATGACGAATGGACCGATGCTAACGAAGAAAATGGGAGACTACGACAAGAAAAGACGAATGTTAGTACAGTTGACAAACAGGATGTTCCTCAACCGACATATTCAAATAAAAAGGACGACGATTTTTATAAATTATTACTGACTTCCCCGAAGAAAAGAAAATTTGACGAATGCAGCGACAGCAGTAGCGTTAACACCTTTACAGTAACAGTTGACGAACTGTGCAAGGTAAAATATTACATTTGAACAACATAATTTACAAGTAAATTGTCTAACATAAATAATTTCAAGTTTACCACTTTATAGAGAGTGGCAAGGCAAAGCTCTGGAATGTGCTTCCAATCCTTACAGTTTAAGCTCTTTTATGAACAACCAACTGTGGCTTAGTTAAAGAATTACTTTACAAAAGTAATCTATAATAATTTGTATTTCAAAAAAGGGCTTTAAGCTCTTTCAATTTTAAGTACCTTTTGAATTTTCCAATTGAATAATTGGTGCCTTCATCTGTAATTCAAATGGCTTCAATCTCTTTGAAAGTGCTTTAAGAATTATTAGAGATTTAAATGCAATTGCTTATGAAATAATTGGTAATTTGAAGTCCTTGGATATTAAAGTGTAATAGAAGTTGCATAACCAAAGCACTTTAAGTAAGGATTATAAGCTTCCACTTCAATTCATTGGATGAGGGTTTTGCCCAGCTTTGCTCTTTATAAATCTATTTTATTACATGTACATACAATTTAGTGCTACTATTGTACTATTTTTTTCTTTTCTGACCACTTACTGTTACAATTTATTTAAATATTAGACACCACAGAGTCAGAGATGGGCAAAGCATTGATGCTTTGAACTTTAAAATGTGCTTCCATTCTTGTATTTGAAGTCATTTCATGAAGAAGCAACTGATAACGAATTACTTTATGATAGTGATCCGTAATTTGCATTTCAAAGCAAAGGCTTTAAGCCCTTTCAAAGTTAACTGATGCCTTTTCATTTGCAATTTAAATGGCTTCAATCTCTTTCAAAGTGCTTTAGGCACTTTCAAAGTCATTATTAGAGACTTAAATCTAATTGCTTATGAAGTAATTGGTAATTTGAAGTCCATGGATTTTAAAATGTAATTGAAGTTGCATAACTAAAGCACTTTAAGTAAGGATTGTAAGCTTCAATTGGTTTGATGAGAGCTTTGCCCAACTTTGCTCTTTAAAAATGTTTTTCTTTTCGAATTTCATATAAGTACATACAATTTAGTGTTATCAGAATTGAAAATTATATACTGTTTTTTCTTCTCATATCAATTAGTTTGTCAGCTTTTTTAAGACAACAAAATACTTTAATTTTTTGCATAGATGAAGCTAAATCCGAAAAAAGAGAGACGACCAGAGGACGAGAAATGGGGAAAAAGGAAAAGTAGAAAATAAGTGAGAATATTCTTTATTAATTAAGAATTACTTATTAATTTCGATTCATCAATAATTGTTACTTTTTATTTTCAAATAGTTTTTGTAACCCATTAGGTACATAGGTACTTAAATCTTGACAAAAATGTTAAATAATTGTTCCGTTGTATACTTTAAGAAATGTTATATTGTTTCATTTAATGTGTATTTTTTAATCCATTTAATTTGAATAAAAATTTAAGTTAGATACTGAATCATAATTAAAAATATTGCCACTAATACTGAAAATTAATTAAAACAAGGCAACTTTAGAGTACCTAGTCTTCTTATTATCTTATAAGGGAAAATAAAATTAATTAAATTGATAATAAGTAAAACTGAAAGTAACTTTTAATACTTATTTACGTTATGTGTTGATTAAAAGGGTGGTGGGTATTTTATTTTGCATCAGAAATTGACAAATTACATCATGTCTTGATTTTCATAAGAAATCGGGGTGCATTTATTTTATTAAAATCGACTACTTATAGGTAATAAAAAAATAACCATTTTCATAAATTACTGAGGAAAAATTTGTTAAAGTTCTTTTTTATAACTATCTGCATAAGCAGATGCATTATGATACACAAAAAGGTACTTTCTTTATACATTCTCCTTTTCCTTTACTAAAAAATAAATACGTATGTATGTACCTATATAGAAATTTACAAAAGACAATTACTGCTAAAATGGAAAACGAATTAAAGTAAAACTTTAAAGACGAATTCCTGGATTGGTGGCAGCAACGTAATTCAACAATTCTTCGGAATCTTCACAAACGACAGGCTTTTCGTGGTAACAGGCAACATCATGCCACGCAATACCGTCATTATAGACGTTATTCAGGACAGACAGACATGATTCTGTCGTTCCGTTGATTTCGAATTCTGCATTGTCAGGTTGGGGCTGTTTCTTGTGTCCTGTACGAGACCAAGGGTTGTAACTAAATCCGTTAGGGACCTGGTTCGTGGGGGCCATTTTTTCACGATTTGCAGACCAGAACCAACCCAATATGTTCTTGGGTTCCAAATCTGGACGATTTTCGCATCCTTTGAAGTCGCATAGACGACCTGATGTCCAAATATAGGGAACATCGTCTAAAATTAGATAATTAATTAATAATGGGTCAAAAACCATTCCAAACAAGAAAATAAGTGATGTCCAACATATGAAAGGTTTTCTGTAACAATACAAGATAAAAAATAATTTCTTCATTCAAATTTCGTGGAAAGGAATTCTGCTCTAAGTCATTTTGTAGGAAATTCAATTCTCATTTGCAAATAACTTGTTAGGATCATTACTCTAAACTTGAAAATGTTTTACGCAGGTACTAAAGTCACTTAAAGATATTTTCATAAAATTAAACATTAAAAATTTCAACTGTTTGATTCCAAATACTATAAAGGTTCATAAAGTTTAATTAATTTATTTATTAAATAAAAACTTGGACAAAATTAACGCGCCATTAAATTTTTTTTTCAAGTTTTTTGGTATCAATATTCCATGTGCTTTCCACAGAAAGGTTTTAAATCAAAATCGATTTAAAGTAAAGTCAGTGGATTTATAGTCTTCCAAATAAAAACATATAAGGTTGTCATTTAGATTTTTTTAAAATGAATTAACGTGTATAAATACCCTGTATTATTATTATATACCAACAAGTAAATAATGGTCCTTACTTTGCTGTATCAATCTGAAAATCATATTATTCTCCTCTTGAGTTTCTAAAGAGACCAAATCCATACAATATTCTCTGCAAATATTCCTTCCATCTAACCAATCCACTCTTCTATTCGCTAACGCAGGAACATGTCCACTATAAAAGTAATTGTGACCTCTAAAGAAGAATTGCTTAGGTCCTGAAATAAAAAAAAAAACGAATGTTATACCTCACACAAATATTTTATAATGATTTATATTCCAACTTCCCGACAACATTTATGGTACCTATCTATAATAAACCTAGAAACTTATTAATAAGATTAATACTTACAACACGTTAATATAATTATTACGTATCTTTTTCTTTTTTTCGATATAAATTAGAAATGTTTTTCAAAAACAAATACCTTTTCGAATTGCCTATCAAATATTTCACGTTTGTTTTCAAATTCTCAAAAAGGCAACGATATTACTCAATTCTTAATCACGTTGATATTTATGAAGGTAATTATTACACAATTTGGCTTCTACTCCTATAAGCCTGTTATTATTTTAGTCTGTTATTACGAGAGACAAGACAAAATGATGAGTTAACACACAGAAATTATACGGTCGTGTATTGTAATATTGTAAATAACATTAGCATACCGAATTGAACAAGTCAAACTGAAAATCATTAAACCTGAGGCTCTAGTATAGGCACCTAACCGTTTGCAGGAAGGAATATTTTCTTAAGCAGCGGTAAAAGTTCAAAGATCAAACAGATTTTAATTAATTATCTAATATACTATTAGTAAGACAACGTTTTAAAAGGAACCAAATATTTACTAATCATCTTCATTCGCTTCGCATCTAAGCACTTTTCATCGTTTAATTAACAATTTTAGACTTTAATTTAGAAAAAAAAATGCTTAATAAGGAGATACATACCTGCCGCTAATTGCAATTAAGAAACCGGTAAGTACATTAATTACTCAGACAATAGACAACAAAATAAAATAAAGTTATTAATGCTACTAATAATTTTAATAAAATTGCAATAACAAAACATATCTAATTGTAAATTATTTTTAAAAAAGATTGCGGAAAGATTGGTTACACGTCTCGCACGTGTACGCCATAAAAAAGCGTGTATTTTGGTGTAATTTTTACGCTGAAAAGGTATCATAAGTGGTGTCATATGATAGGTACATTTGTCTATATGTGTAGAAAACTCAAAAAAAACACCGAAAATAATCATTATTACGCTACCTACATGCCTAAAAGTACCGGGATGTTTTAAGTAAAATTGTTGAGTCAATTAAAAATAATTTCTCCTTACGAAAACAACAAAAAAAAAATTGATGTTATCTAAATCCTTACATAATTTATTTATTTAATAGTAAATTATTATGAGAGTTTGTTTTTTAATTGTTTTAATCTTAAAACAGATTTCTTTAAGTATTGCCCAAGAATATATTCTTGTTTGGGTAGTTAACAACTTGTGAGAGAAGCTGTGTATGTATAAAAAGACATTAAATTATTTAGCATCAGCAAATTCATGACAACTTTCACATGAAGAAAGTTCACTTGGCACTCGAGATGTTTAATTTTTATTACGTCACTTTGGTAATTCGTTCAAGTTTATTTTATTTTTGTATGGAGAAAACCCAAAAACAAGTACACTTAATGAGAAATGTTGTATAACACATACCAAATGCAATATTATACAATAATTGTGTAAAAAAAGTACTTGGAAAAATATTTCAAGATGTATCGAGGTGTATATTACTTCAGACACGTACATGTTTAACAAGGATTTTCTTCAAGGTTCTATAAGATCCAACCAATATTAACTAGGATAATAATTTGAAATTTTGTAAACACAAGATGAAAATGTGGTAATGAACCTGATGAAACCACTGTAAAGCAAAATAATTGTTGTGGATTACCTATCGAATAAAATACGTACTTATAAGTTACGTATTTTTGTATTTGTTGAATAAAGTTTTGCGTTTCTTTTATACCGTGTTAAAATAGAATGTTTTTCTTGTGGCCCCATAAAAAATTATTTGCTAAACTTGTGTGTGACCGACCTTCTAGGTCCTCGGAATAAAATCAGTTCCTTAACATTTCTTTATTTGTCTTTATGTGTCGACCTAACAACTACTGTCATCCTTGAACGAAAGGAATTTTACAAATAAAATGTTCATCGTCGTGATACTTGTCAGTTTTCTTAAATAGTTCTACACTAAGTCTTATTAAGCACACGATAAATGAATAATAATTAATGCCAAACAATCAAAAGATATTTAAGTCACGAACAATGCTGAAAATATTTTTAAGGATTCAGCACAATTTTAAACAAACAAGGGGGTTTTTCCAAAATGTTATAAGTGAAATTAATTAACAATTTATAAACACTGTAAATGTTTAAAAAAATGTACCTATACCTTAGAACTCAACAACTAACTAGTAAATGTTACATGATTTAAATTCTTAATTTCTGTAAATAGTTCAGGATATTCACACAATTAATCTGCCTATAAGATACTATAAAATGATTAAGTCATTAGCAGAATATATGCTAAGTTTTTCGTTCGAAAGTATCCTAATTTCTTCTGTGGACAATTACATTCATAAATATTGAGATCTCGAACTACAACTTACTTTTATTTGAATAAAATTTATCTTATACTACTTTGGGGTAGTATATCTTTTTACTAGTCGAGGTATTTTTAAAATAGGTACAGTAGATCCAGAGACATTCCTCTTGATAAATTAGCGTAGATAAAATTGCCATGAACAAATGACGATCTTTTCATTAAAGGTCACTGCATACAATATAAGATAAGAATGAAGAAAGAACTATTATGAGAAATGAGAAGCTATGTGCATATATGCAAATAGAAAATCGTAAATTTTGCACATTACACGACTGTCCGCAGGTCAATAAAATGCAGAATATTTCGCAAATGTGTGAAATTCTATGCTTAGACTATGGCAATAATGATCTGTGACCTATCTCGAATTAACCCGCAGGTTAACAAGAATCTTCAAGTGCTTCTTACACTTGTTACATCATTTGCTACACCTTGTTTGAATAGCAATTATAATTATGTTTAATATCTTGAATAAAACAATCATACAAGAGTTTCCTATTTTAATAATAATGTATGAGACTTACTATTTGCACATTTTTGTGGATTGGGCAGTGCTAAAAACCGTCCTGGTCTGTTGGAAGGCGACCTTAATTGACCTAAAACTACATTTGAGAATGTCACCACCGCGAAGGCGACCAGTGTGGTAAATATCCTCATCTGAAACAATAAAAAAATAAAGTTAAAACTTAGAAGCATGTAAAGCTATTAAATCTTTGTACTTCTCACTAAGCTCAATGAATCGAAACTCAAAGAATCAAGCATTTTTCTTTTCGTATTTTCAAATTAACCGATCTGATTTTTTTTTGTTAAGAAAGGTGTCGAAATATGAACCATTTCATTCGATTTATTAACACACATTTTTGACAAAAGATGCGTCACTTTTTAGGACACCTTAACGTGCTTTTATGTCATTCAAATCAAGATTGACTTGAATCACTGTAAAGATCGTCTAAATCTGAAAATTGATTAGAAAGGTGCCGATATATGAACCATTTATTTTGATTTCATAAAGACAAATTTTCGGAAAAAGATATGTCATCTCTTACGACACCTTGACGCGTTTTTATATCATACAAATTAAAATTGACTTGAATCATTGTAAAGAGCAAAGTTTTGTGCATTCAAGTCTAAAAATTAATTAAAAAGGTGCCAAATTATAAACCATTTCTTTCGATTTCATAAAAACACGTTTTTGAGAAAAAATGTCACCTTTTACGACGCCTTGGCGCGCTTCTATATCATATAAATTATGATTGACTTGAATCACTGTAAATAACAAAATTTTGTGTGTCCAAATCCGAAAATTGTTTAAAAAGGTCACGAAATTTCTTTTGATTTCGCTAAAACACATTTTTAACAAAAGATATGTCACCTTTTACAACACCTTAACGCGCTTTTATATTATACAAAATTATCTTTATAGTTAGTGGTCTTTTGAGGCAAATTTTTATTTCTTCTATTTGTCTACCTTTCCCCATATAAGTGATCGTAACATTTCTCTTTTTTACCTATCCATGTTAAATATTTATAAACCGAATACTGGTCTTTTATTTATTTTAAAATTATACCAAAAAGATGTCGTATACTGCATCATTTAATTAGCATAGGATATACAACAAAACTATTAAATTTACATTTCATGTTGGCCTTTATCCAATTCGAATTCTAATCCAAGTTCGTGGTCAAAATTTTAATATCGAAACACTTTTTTCTTCGATCACCTTAACTTCATATTACGTAAAGGGTATCCAGCAGGGACATTCTTTCAATTGATTAATGGCACTTGTCTAATGATAGAAGAAGTTGCCGATGAAACAGGCGATTTGCTCTTTCATGTTTTACATTAAGTAATTTGAAACCATTTAATGTCAAATTGGGTGTGTTAATAGATTAATGTTAACTGGTGGGAATAATTAGGATTAAAAATAAGGATATAAAAGTAGACTAAACAATAATTAAACCAAGAGGACAAATTTTCAAATGCCAGGACAAAACGTGGACACGTGTTTCGTCCAGTTTCGTTTGTCTGTGTAATCTAAAAAGTTGATTCAAAAGCATGAAGTTTTAGCAAAAGAATCGGTAAACACCAGGTAACGATTTATAATTGCAAGCATGTCACACGTACTCCTGGTGCATACACATTAACAAAACAGAATAAAATATCGTCGCTTGTTTTCAATTGTTTAAACACATGTTGACGTCCCTGTCCTGGTCTAGAATGCAAATGACGAACTACTCTCGAATAAACGGTGCCCCGGAAAAGATCCGTATGGAAATGAAATGGGTGTGACTATAAAATAGATTGTAGATTTCGTTTATTTATTTTAGAAACTGCGATTTTCTGCTGATTCTAATACTTCAAAGTTTTCTTACGCATATTACTCAGAATAGTCTTTTAGCACACCTTTTTATCACAAAAATGAAACGAAGAATCATCATAAACATTTTGATAAAATTTGCGGTGTCGATCGTTATTTTTTGTCTAAGCCATTGTCTAATAGTTTATTTAATTATTTATTTATTATTGGCTACCCATCTTTAAAGCATTACTGCATTTCAATCCAATGATTTACCTAGATCCACAACACGTTGGTACTTAAGTTCACTGGGTCAGAAAAGATTGTCGAGATACGATCTGCAATCCCATACTTACGTATAATAGTTGTCAGTAGTGCTTTCGCACAACCTGTACGATTTCACTCGCGACTTCATTCATTTTAAAGCAAATAGACGCACATATGCATGAACACACATAGCTAATAGTTACGAAATGTTATTGTTGATGATTCGTAAATGGATACGATTGTTTTTTCTGCCATTTCCTTATTCAACTCCTATGGAAAGATCAGTAATGATATGATAGGAAACGAAAGATCGATCTTTTCAAATAAGGACTGGTCCACTGACGATCTTTTTTCTGTTTTATGTAATCAGTTATTTTAAAATCTATTCATCATCATAAGATCGTCAGTCTTAAGACTGGCTGAACATGCACTTCCACTAATTTCCACCCTGAAACATCCCACATCCCTAACTAATGTAATGTAATCTATTAATCAAAAAGATTACCAGTTTACGTTACAAAACTTTACAATTAAATTGCACATTGAAATTGACCATGAATTGAATTCAGGTAAAAAGATTTAAACAAAACCAGTTGTCCATTCACTGTTTTTTATGCATCTTCAATTTCAAAGTAAGAACTTTTATTCTCAAGTCTGTTTGGAATTTTTGATACGTAAGTGAAGCAAACTTTGACCCTTTTAAAACCATTAGATATAAAATAATGTTTTAATACTAAAATTAAATGTCAAGGAAACAATTTATTACTTACTTCGGATTCCAAAGTATGTATTAAGTATAAAATGTTGACACTAATTAAATTTACTTTAACCAATAACTGCAAACGTAATACATAACGTGAACGTGACCACATCATGACCTTAAAGGACCAGTAGGTTTTAGTACGTACATATTTTGCGATGAATGAAATTTCGATCTCGAAATCTCAAATAGGAAGAAAGAGTGTCCTAACCAAAACTACTAAAATTATCTTCCTCTCCAAATTATTCATTAACATTTGCATTTAAAAGTTTGTTACTAGCCCATAAGGTTCCAATGAAAATTTGCCCTGTTACGTTTTAAACTATCAAAGTCCCTTCTCCTATCTAATCTAAGATGAGAACACTATCACCTGATCAGGGAAGTACGTAAATAGTGACTTCTTGTTCTGTTTACATTAATTTTACAGTGATAACTTCAGTAATTGGCAAAAAAAATCATAGTTGTGCTTTCAACGTTGATTAAGTTTAGGTCAAAACTCTCAACGCGAATTCCCACTTAAAATTGCAAAATTCGTTTTAATACAAACAGCGGGTATTTTTGAATTGTGTACGTAAATCACTCGTGGCATTTCAATATCTGATTATACATAATAAGTATATAGTTAAACAATGTGGGAGATTTAATTACGAAACAGAAGTGTTGCGGTTGTCACATGTCCGTAACAAGAGGGTCGAGTTTCAGAGTACGTAATACAAGAATTTAATGAGATCTCATCTCAGAAACGGACTAAAGTCGTGACATAGTGTGATGTAACGTTCGATCAAACATTGACTTTTGAAAAATTTGACGTGGTACCTACAGGAAAATCCGAACAAATACCTTCAGTCATAAGAATAAGTCCAATAATAAATGCAATTTAAAGCTTGTGAGCGGTGTGTTACGCTTTGTTAAAAAGATATCCAGAGTTCCGTTAGTTTGGGACAGTTTTCAAAGTTTCTTGATAAATAAATATATTCCAGACATGGTATAGTAGCACCCCTAATAAAACCATTATTTGTAATTCTGTTAAACATTTTGTAGCGTCAGTATTTCTCTTGATGATACTGGTCGTTCTCTAGTGTCCTTTGACTAATTTTTCTTCCTTTATGGTAAGTTTTTTATGACTCCACGACTGTTCCAAAAAAGACCTTTTATTAATCAAGGTCTTCCGTAATACGTATGTACATATGCATCCAATAAATCTTAAAGGTGCTTCACATCGTTGAGATAGATATGTATTTTATGTGTACATTTTCTTTGCGCAAGTATAAACGTGAAGAGAATGAAATGATCCAGCACGTCCTTTTACATGGACTATTTCATAACGATTAAACAAATCCATATGTACTTCTTACGACATCAAAATACAAATCGTAATATATCTAGATGATGATGCAAGGCATGGGACACGATGATAGGCGCCATGCAGATGCATGATACATAGGTCCAATATACAGAGCAAAAAAAAAAAATCCGGTAACATCGCAAAGAAAAAAGAAAAAAAGTTGTCAAAGTCGACAAATGTCCACGATCAGCCGGAAAGCTTCCCAGTTATGAAGTATCAATTAAAAAAAATTAATTAATAAATTACAGCATTTTCTATTTAAATTAAAGTGTGATCCCAATATACCTGAACCTACATTACACGCAGTCGTTATTATTACGAAAAGAAATGAAAGAAATGAAACGAGTTCACCTTATTCGGTTCGACGAGTTCACGATTATTCATGCAACTCAGGTCCTTGTAAGGTTGCTCGAAGTATTTTTACATTTGCACAAGGAACATTTACCACTTATTTATAAAGCACTTGTCAACGCTACTTCTTTTCTTTAAGGATGTTTGGGAGGTATGTCAAAATGCTACGAGGCAAATAAAAATTTTGAAGAACGTTCCTCATTCAATTCTAAAACTCCTGTAAAAATTACAAATCGATTCACTAAATCGTTAAAAAGTTGTTGAAATTTTAAAAAATTGTAATTTTACACGTCATTTTATTGAGATTCGTTAACCGAACAGATTAAATTTATTTTTATTAACAGAAAAAAAGCTACCAGAAATTTCAAACTTTTATAATAAGTAACTTGAACTCTGGAGAATCAGTTTAGCGTAAGGTTATTCAAATTTACTAAATGGTTATCGAGGAAAAATTGAAAAATTAGCTGAAAATCTCGTTTTTACTTGATAATATAATGATAATATTATTAATAATAAAGAATGAAACTAAATATTTTTTTGTTTCGAAGTAGAAATCAAGGAATATTCACAGCCAAGTTTTCTCTTAAACCGTATACTTTTTTTTAGTATAGATAGTATTTATTTACCTCATGATATGCTGCAAAACCTAATTAAACACGAATTTCTATTTTTAAGTACTCTTGTCTCCGATTGTACCTCCCAAACACCCTTAAATATACCTATTACTCTTAATATGTACATGTGTATACAATATTATACAGATGCTAAATGAGACCAACAAAAGAAAGTTCGAACAAATGCTAAAAAACTTAGTCGTTTTCTGAAGAATCCATTAATTTTCATTTTTAATTGAACTAATTTTCATGTACGCAATGTAGGAGTCAGTTCAATCAATTGTTCCAGTCTATATGTGTCGACTTTTCAATAATCAAAATCAATCAATAATTATTTATCCAAAACCGCCTAGGCAGCTAATTATTCGTAAGTTATATCTAAAATTAAAATTAATTCTATGCAAAAATCCGGCTGAGAATAGATACATTAATTAATTTTAGAGTGACAATTAAGCAAAAAGATGAACAATAACTGAATATTCATCCGTCTGTTCTAATAAACATCGAAAAAAGTAGTTGAATTGAATGTTGAACGTTACGTAAACTGCAAATAATTAAGAACGAAACTTTTGCAAAAGAATTACAACCGTGTGAGATAATGCAAGACAAAACACAAAGGTGTATTTAATTCTTATGGATTCGTTGCTATTTGTTTATAAGAGTGTGAGAAAATACGAGCATAATTGTTGCTATTAGGAAAATGTTGATTGAAATAATGAGAATACTTCTATATGGTACCAAGTAGATTTCCTGTAGGAAGCAAAAGGACAACGACTTCAAACAATATTATTAACTTTTCTGGTAGAGTTTGAAGGCCTCTTCTTTCGTTAAAAGAAATATTTGAAATTGTTAACTATTTCATTATTTGGTTATAAAAATAAACAAAATACGATGGAGCTATAAAAAGTTGTACAGAACATCGCTTTCTTATAAAATTGATTGACTTGACCCTTACTTATTAAAAATCCACAGGATTGATCGACATCACAATAGCTTATTAATCTTACATAATACCTAGGAACTGACCCCAGACGAAGCCAAAGTCTAACAAAACAATTTTTTGTTTTAACTCGTTAGAATGTGATTTTCGGAAAATTCGTTCTGATTGTATTCCTGTGTAATAGTCAGAAAATGATTCCAAAAATTTCATTCAAATCGGCCCAATAGTTTCGGCTGCTCCTTTATACGAATGTGTATAGAAATTAGGAGTATGTTTATATTAATTATTAATAATTGTTATAAAACTATGTTTTTTGTTATCGATTTTTATATTAATGTAAACACTAAATTCGTGAAAGTAAACAAACTAATAAAAAATTATTTAAAAAACATTCATCGAGTAGAATCCTAATAAATCTCAACTTTATATACACTCACCAGCATTTGTCGCATTATTAAGTAATGAATTATTTTAAATAATTGTAATTAAGTATAACTGTTCGCCAAAAACAGATATCTAGCAGTTTCCTAGATGTCTAGTGCCGATGGTTATTAGTTACTGAAATAAAAGGCTAATTTTGTAGCATTTTTAATTACCAAGGTAAGCAAGTTTCGAACATCACAAATAATTTTTTTCCGCAAAGAGCACAGTAGTTAGTCATCTCACAAAGTGAAAAATTAGTTTGTTTAGAAAACTTTACCAAGGTTGAATTGAACATCAGACTTTTCACTTTCGATTAATTAAGTTAAAATTTAATGATAAAAGCGTATTATTTTTTATCATAAACAATCAAATTTAGTTGAATACAGTTCATTCAATAAATAATTATTCAATAGGTAAGTGTTTAATAAAATTGATCGCACGTCACGCAGGATTTGCTCCTATTTTTAATAAAAATTTAATTAACATTATTATTATGGCATTTAGAATGTTTTTGAAAAATATTTGTTGACCGTTTTCTCATTTTTCTTCTTGTATCGAAAACAACAAAACTTATTCGCCAATTTCAAAAGGTTAAGGATGTAGATACAATAATTAAATAATAATTAAGTATGTAAACGTAATTTGTTATAAGTTTAATGCTAATTGGTGGCACTTACCGTAGCAGGTGATCGTATGTTATGAATTAAAGAAACGATGCGATGCCGATGTTCGAACTACTTAAGAAAACGTTTTCTCTGGGTCGGCAAATATAAGAGAAAAATGCACCCACCAAACACACCTCAATGCTGCCTTACCTTAAATTTGAAGCTCACCGGTCACTAAATCTTCTCACCAAGAGTGAGAGTCATATTTATAGGATGCGAAACGGGGATCTTTCATGGTGGGAACAGATATTGATGGCAATACTGTCGTATCACCTGTATCTATATAGAGTCAATACATTTATCCGTGGATAGGTGTAATCGATCAAAACTTTATTGATTGATGTATCAAACCCCTTTCTTCTAATGTTTCACATTCGAATATAAAAAGTTCAAACCCCAACGCTTAAACACAATATCGAACGTACGAATTTCAATTGTATTTTAAACTTAAAACTTTTAAATTTTAAGAATCTCATTTCAAGATCCGTAACTGTTCAAAAAGACACAAGTTTATTACTACCCAATACGAGCCAAGACTTACTCGAGGACTCGACAGTAGTTTTCATACAGTTGATTTTCGAATTACGTATAGTTCAAACATAAACCCTTTTCAAACTCTTCTTGGTAACCCTATGGATAGAGTTTCTAGAAAAGCCAATTGATTGTAAGAAATGTATTGGACTCTATGCATGTTATTAGATTCAAAAAACTTTTGGTTAGTGCCAGGTTTGATCTTCAGACTGATGGCCCTACAATTACTGACACAAACACATGTAGGGATATAACAGTAACGTTAACAGGGACGTGTAAATATAACGATTTATTAAAAGAAACAAGTTATAAGATGAATAAGATTAAGTTAACAGAACATGGAAGTTTTACATGAATGAGCCAAGCCCTCACGACGTCTAACCTTTTCGAGGGTTGTTCTTAGACTCCCGATTCCGTCCTTTTTAAAATTGTACAGTAATCGGTACTTCTTGACCGTCCCAGAGGTCTTTTTCTTTAAGCAACGGTAATAAACTTTACGACAGGGTTGGGTCCGAGGACCTGGCTGCTACATGTACATTTTCCTAGAAATTAGTAAATAATTCTTACGACTATAACAACTTAAAATTTAAACATTAACAACTAACTTATTCTAAGGCACGTCTGCATACTACATTCGGCCATCCTGCATTACATCTGGCCTCAGATGTTAGCATCATCGTCTGTTTCATTTTCGTCGTCAGTTTCAGGTATTTTACTTTCTCGATTGAATTTAGGAAGATTTTCATCATATTGTGCCCACGGTTTCAGGTGGTCAGCTGACACTGATGTCTCGCGCGGCCCTTCATGATTACCTACTTTGCTCACAATGTAGCGGTCGTTACGCAGGACTTTATTTATACGGTATGGACCTAAATACTTGGGATACATTTTCAAACCTGGCCCAAATTGTGTCCGTTTTATTGCGACGAGGTTCTCCACTTGGTAATGTTTTGCCTTTTTACGCTTTTTGTTAAAAGATTTCTTATTTTCATCCTGCATCTGGGCAATTTTGTCTTTTGCCTCAACACGTATAGCGTCTCGTTCTTCGTCGAACATTTTTGTCCATTCTTCTTCAATGATCTCACGTATACGTTCATCACTCTTCAAACGCATGTCAGTACCAATTAGAAGTTTAAAAGGGGTATTTTTGGTGCTGCGATGAATTGTAGCGTTCAAGTACTTTTGTGCGGTATTTACATGTTTATACCATTCTTCGGGTTTCGGAGCTGACAACTTTGCTAATAATGGAATAAGCGTCCTGTTTACTCGTTCGACCTGTCCATTGCTTCGAGGTACACCTGTTGTAATACATACGTGCTCGATTTTTTCTATTTTGCAATATTCGTTAAATGCTTCTGAGGTAAATGCCGTCCCTCGATCTGAGATAATTCTTCTGGGATTACCGAATATTGCGGACTGTCTCTTTAGCCGATCAATTACGGCAGCTGTGTCTGTTGAACGTGTTGGGTATATCCATACAAACTTTGAAAATGCATCAGTGACAACAAATAAATAACGGTATGATTTCTTTGTTGACGGTATAGGGCCCAAGTGGTCAATGTGATACGTGTCTAACGGTACGCTACCTTTATTTATTGCATGCAATAGACCTTCCTGCTTTCCTTGTTTTTTTTCGACTAAAATACAATCTATACAATTTTTTATGACATGCTCAACTTTCTCTCGCATATTTTTAAACCAATAATCGCGTTTTATGAGAGCCTCGGTTTTATTAATTCCGAAATGACCGTTCTCGTGTGCACGTCTTATAATTTGCATCTGCATACAATTTGGTACAACTATTAAAAATTCATCGTTTACAATTTTATATAAAATATCATTTCTTATCTCATATTCCTTAGTTTTACAATTTCTTATTAACACAAAAATATTAGCTAATTCATTATCTTCATGCTGTGCTCTCTTTAACTTTACAATAATC